TTACCTTACGAACTTTTCTTCTTTTTGCCATATTTGTTACACTTAGCATACAGGTTTGAAAACTGGTTTTAAAGACTTTGCAACTCCACATAAGTATATTTGCGTAATATATAAATTATCAGCGATCACGAGAGTATCACAAAAATTAAGTCGGAAAATTTTTTAAAATTAAACTACTTGAAAATAAGCAACACTATAGTAAAAATAGGTTGCTTATTTTCGGAAGAATACAGTATATATTCTGATCTGATTTTGTCATAATCAGATAGTCTTTCTTTTGTTAAATTTATTATTTCATTTAATAAAACATGTTTTCTAATTTTGAAACTCAAAATAAAAATGCTGGATGACAACTATTAGAATTAGTGTAGAATTATTTTATATATAATAATGAAAAGTATAAGGCAAATATAAAATAACTTATAATTATTACAATAAATATTAGAAATACAAAGAGCTTTATGATTTAGAATCTCATTTAACTATCTATTATTTAGTAATATCTAATAAAGTCATTCATAAATATTTATTAAATTATTCTATATAATAATAATAAAGGTAAATTTAATAATAAAAATAACAAATGAAAACTTTTAAAAAATTTTAGTCAAAAATTATTAGATAATTTTGCTAAAGGTTCTTTAACAAAAAGAAATTCTAAAAAAATCAATCAAGCATAGGCTAAAATATTTACTGTTTATAAAATTTCTTGATGTATTATTAAAAATCTATTTTTTATTAAAATGAATCTTTTTTATAAATTATCAACTTGCAAACTTCTTTTTAGTCATATATTTAAATAATAATTAGCTAGAATAAATCAAAATGGTAAAAGTATTCTTTCTCAACAAAAATTTAACACTTGGTATGTAATTTATTATTTTACATTTTAATTAAGATTTATTATCTATTTAATAATAATTATTTGAAATTTTAGTTTTAAATAAATAAAATAATAAGAAAAACTAGTTATATTAGAATTTTATTATTATAATACTTAAACATAAAGAGTATTTATATAAATTATTTAATTTTAAATAATTTTCATACTGAAAGTTTTTTTGTGAAAATGTATTATAAGAGATTAAATCTGATTTATTTTTAGTACTTATTAGTGATTAGTGATAATAATCCTAATGTTAAGCTTATTTATAATTATATTAATTAATTATATCTACATATTTGATATATTTAATATATTATGTATACAATCAACTTAGTAATATAAGATATAGTAAAAAATGAATTTGCTGAATATTTAATTTATTATTGTAATATTATATGCATTTTTTTTAAAAATTTCTCATCAAGCTGATTAATATTATTTTATAATTAATTGCTTATTACTATTTTATTTTAGTTTTTAAAATTTTTTCTTTTTTATAGCAAAATTAAAGGCCTTAATTTAAGAGAAAATATTTTAGGTAGGGTCTTAAGTCTTATTATAAAATGTGATAGATAACTACTTACAAATATATTAAAAGTATATTATATCTAGAACAAGTTTTAAAAAAGTAAATATTATATTATTATTTATTTTTATTGTTATTAATTATTATTAATAAAACTAATTAATTTATTTTATTTGATATTAGATAACTTAAAATTATTAGGATTTAATAATAAATAAACATGTTATTCAAATTATTAATTATTATAATTTTTTTATTTATTTAAAAATTCATTATTCTGTGTTTTTCATTAAAACAAGTAGTATTAATATTAGAAGAATGAAATGTAATACTTGAAGATTATTATATATATTTAATTAAGATGGTTATAATAATCAGAAAAATTACCATCTAATCAGTATCTTAAATTTTATACATATTGTATTAAAATTTTAAATATTCAATTTAATGATAATTTATATTTATTTTATTATTTTTTATTAACAAATTTAGAGGTAAATATTATTTTTAATTAAATTATTATTTAATTTTATTAATAATTAATAAAATATTTAAATTTATAGCTTTAGGATTAAAAAATAAGCAGTTTAAATAAATTGTTAAAATGTTAGCTATATATGATGTAATATAGGCTATGATTTAGCAAGTGGTAATATTTTAACTACACATAAGGTTGCTAGATAAAACTTAGAGATTTTGCAAGTCATCTAAATAGAAGAATGTAAAATTTAGCAAAATTATATTAAAAAAATCTACAAAATTCTGAAAAAGGTAAAACTATATCAAAACTTATAAAAATGCAAAGCTATATCAAAACTTTAACAAAACTATAGTTTAAATACAGTATTTTGTCAAATTCAAAATGAGTTTAGACAAGCAACCTTAACTACACATCTTTAAAAATATAAGAATTCTAAAGAACTATATAATAAATTATACAGTTAACTCTTGTTATAACGAACTCTATGTCTTAGATCTCAACTTCACTATAAGGCTATAGTGAAGATTTTAAGAGATTTGATTGGCCAATTCGCTATAACAAGAGTATTTTTATTATATTTGTTCAAAAAATTCGTTATATCAAGAGTTCGCTATATCAAGAGTTGACTGTATCAGGAAAGGATGGCCCAACAAATTAGTAGAATTCAATTAAACCTATTTTAAATTACCTTTAAATAATAGCTTTAAAAATTATTGCTATTATTTCAAATAGTATTTTTTATGAAAGAATTTTCATTTTACAATGTATTTTGATTTTTTTCTTTTATAGACGGGATCGACGAATTGATTAGTTGAATACTTCTAAATAACCAGTTTTTTCACGGAATATATGGGATCTTTGCAATAGAAAGGGGGGAAACTGCTGGAAAAATCAATTTTACTTTTATATGTCAAATATGAATTTTAGGTCAAATATGTTTAGATTTAGCATTAACTCAGTTTTTTATTTTTCCAGCCGTTTCCCCTTTTCTATTGCAAAGGTCTCATATTGTATATAATATTCTCATTAAAAAAAAAATCATATCATGAAGGACTTTACTAGGTTGGGAAAGTTCTGTCTTAAATATCATTTTTATAGGAAACTATTATTATTTATTCTTTCGCATATTATACATTAATGATGATTATATGCTGCGGTTAATAGAACGCAATTCGTTAATTACATTGTTATAAAATATTTGATAAATTCGCGATTTATTATAATTATAAATAGTTTATTTATAAAAAATAAAAAAATTAAATAATGGCCAAGAAGACAGTTACAAAAATTATTAAGCATACAAATTCTTCACACATTTCTTAAGTGTTACATATAGTCTCCAGTTTATAGCTCGGCGATGATTTGCAATCGAAATACGCTCGATTGCTTGATCATGCTTCCGATTTGATTTAAAAGGATTCCAAATTGACTTATGAGCATCCCTGTTCCTTGCTTGTTTATACTTAATCATCGCGTCTACTTCATCGATAGTTACGTCTCTTGTCCTCCTCATTACTATTTGTAACCTATTGAATATTTCTTTATTTTTTATTGCGCCCCCGTTATCACGTTCTATGGCATTAGTGAAAAGTTCTGAAAAGGAAATGAACTTTTACTTTGTAGAGTTTTTATTATAAAAATTTAAAACTTTCTTCTGCCATTTGGTTATGATCTCGCATACGTCTTTCACAGCGTCTACAGCATCTTCCGCTAGACAAATTCCTGAATCACCACCTTCAAATAATTATTTAGTTTAAGATCAAGTATAATTATTATCTTTTTAATAAGATTTATAGATACATAGTACTTTATTTACTTTCAATTAAAATTAAGAATTTGTTATTTTTTTTTATTTCGTTCCAATTCCCAGGTTCTGTCACGCGTTGATATACTGTCGCGAGATCTTCAGTTAAATTTGCATTTTTATCGAGACAGAAACAATTTCCTTTTTTTATGAGAATAGATGCCATTTGTTAAATAAAAATAAAATAAACAGCTTTTATAAAAGATTTGTCGAATGAAAAAATAAAAAAAAAATGTAGAAGAGAGAAAATTCTACTGCTTTATATAAAAAATTCACTCTCATAATGGAGAAATTTATAAATTCTATCAGAATTCAAATGCAATTAAATTAAATTTTAAAATATAATTTTGTGTTTTTGAACGTTAATAGTTAAATTATAATTAAATACAAAAAAAAGTTGACTATAAAGAAGAATTACTACAATGAGTTGCTAAATTGAATTCTCCTAGTTAAAAGATTTTTCAATCTGTCAAAGTACTTGTTTTACTTCATTCATTCAACTTGTAACATACACGATAAATTATCGCATTTTAATTATCAAATTTAATTATAGAGTTCGAGAAGAAAGCTTCAAATCCATGTTATCTCTTCCTATCTCCATTTCCATATAACTTTTTTATATTTAACGTTCTTTTTACTTAACGTCTGAACGAAGCCTTCATTTTAACTTCTTTTAACCCAGTATCCAGTATCGCCTGAAAATTTTCAACCCACATGATCTCCAATATTTGTCACCCCGCATATCATTTTTGTGATAAAAAATATTTGTCACCAATTATATGTCACCGGTCACGTGAGAGTGAAATTTTACATATTTGTCACAACTCTGTTTTTCAAAATTTTTACTACTGTCTATTAGTGTATGATTTTCAAACCTGAGAATATGTGCGAAAATTGTGATGGAAAGTGTGCAAATATTATATATTAAATATTTTACTAAAGATGTATGTATGTATAAGAAATGTTAAGTGCGGACTAGGGGCCCCTGATTGTGATGATTGGAACCTCAGTCGTGATAATTGATGTGATATCTACTAAGTTTACTAGTATTAAAATGGCAAAGTGTACATGGTTACACTTATGTTACTTAGGAAAATTATTCCCAAAGTGTACGATACGGTTATCTTAATGTGATATCTTCGTAATCAGGACTGCGCACAAATATTTTTTTGAAATGTGCGGAAATTCACCAATCATACTACCAAAATCATACCACAGAAAAATTTTCGATCACATGATTTTTGGCCCGCATTATGTATAATCCCTAAACCTAGCCTAACCTAAATCTAAGATGTGATGATACGCGAAGGGTATGACGCCGATGATAAATAATGTGTATCACGTGATTGAAGAATTTTTCTGGGGGTAATTATACACACGAGACTCGTCACGCTCATGTCTGTTCTTTCATTTTTATCCGGTATGTGAAATATTATTTATCACATATTATTTGTCACTTGGACTATCACTTTATGCCGTTATCGCCAACATTTTTTTCCACCCCACGTGACCATATATACACGCCTCAGTTTTTCATTTTTACTAATGCATTCCAGGGACAGAATATTTTTTCAGAATGAAAATTTCTATTTGTTACCTAATTTGTCACACAGACAAGTTCAGTAATGACGACTAATAAATCACGTGGGTGAAAGGTGCTGGCGATATGACTAGTCGATTTTAAATCTAGGTAGACAAAAATATTTTTTTTTGAAAACAAAAAAGCAATTTTGCTTGGGTTGACACTTTTCATAAAAAAATATCGTGTAATAAACTAAACTCAAATGATTGTCATCTGATCCGATTATAGTTGATCCATCACTACTTTAGATGACTCCTTTTACTGGCAAATGTTCCCATATCGTTGGCGATAGTTCTTCCGAAGTGAAAATAGACAAAGATATGGAATTTCTAAACTTGTAAATTTTGGCAACTAGTCAGTTGATCAAATAAGATAAAGAAAAAGATGTAATCGCCAGAACCCATCTTTTACAAATTATCGACGTTTTTAGAGTTCTAAAACTTTCACTCTTCTTCAAGAGGATTTGTCATTACAAATAAAATTCATGGAGAATCTTTTATACTTCAATCAATCTATTAATTTCATTCCTTCTTTAATATTATTAGTCATTTTCCAATATTTTTTTTCTACGAAATCATCATTAAAAATTTTCTTTGACACGATTAATTTGTCTCATCATTTTTAAAGTTTTACTTTAAATTTTTGTTTAAATTTAATGAACTACTTTCACGATTTACGGAACTATTACGTTCAGACGGGTTCGTTCATGTAAATTCAATATTTTATTTGTTTAAAATTAATATTTTATTTTATTTTTCAGAGCTAAAAAAACTGGGCTTTTTATAAAAAAATTAACTATGATCTACATATACTCCCCTCCAAAAAATATCCGACCACTTGCCGATCATTTACCGATCATTTGAAATTATAGCTGATTTTGACGTTTA